CTTCTTGGAAGAGTGGATGTAGTCAGCATCCTTGCCTCAACTAAATGAGAGAATCCATTAATATATCAAGAACACCAGCACTTTTTTTAGCACATTGTTTTTGTTATTTTTAAAAAATAGATTAAATTGACCAAAAAATCTCGATCTCACCGACGAATTTCCTATCACATTTTATAAACCAAAAGTGACCAAAATGGAGGGCTAATTTTTATTCCTTTTTACCCAAGAAAAGAGAGATGAAAACAGGGATGACAGTATCTCTTGGGTCATGACCATAAACCAAAGGTTGGGTCATGACCATAAACCAAAGGCACTGGGGATCTATTTTTATAAAAATATTTTTAATTAAAAATAAATTAAAATGATATTCTTTAATTTTTTTAATTTTAATTTTAATATATTAAAATCATTAAAAAATATTATAAAAAAATTGAATTGCGAAAATACACATAAAATCACACTTGTGGATGTTGTCACCGTCTTTAAAAAAGAAAAAAAAGGAAGATGCATATATCTTGTGTAAAACATGTTGAAACTTTGATAGTTCAAAATGAAAAACATATGATGAGTTATTATAATTAATAAATTAAAATTTATATATAGAAATATAGTCGATGTATTATTTGATGTGATGATGTTAAAAATAAAATTTTAAAAATAAAAAATATTTTAATATATTTTAAAGCAACAAACACTTTAAAAACCAATTATTATTACAATCTCAAATATTATTTTAATTTACTCATTTTTCATGAAAACTACCTCGAAAAAAGAGATAAATGAGAATTTATCACAATTTTTTTATAATAATAAAAAAAGACATTCTTAAAATATAAGTGGTAGTGACATCTATTCTTGTTATAAGTCATGAAAAGGAAAACCACCTAGCCACACAAAGCAACGACTAGATATGCAAAGAAGAGACAACAAACTTCAAGAATTGTTTATGTTTTTCTATTCTACCAATAAGAATTAAGAAGGGGATAAAAGATTAAAAGACATAAAGTGATTTGTTTTGTTATTTATAGTAATAAGTTTTATTCTTTAAACCAAGAGGTATTCATGGGTCACATTTATCAAACTTCAAAAGTTTTGGGTAATTTCGAGTTTTAGATTGTAAATATCAAATTCATTACCATAATTTTATAAACAGATTGGACGATTAGGTTCCCATTTCCCGCCTATACAACCACAATAAATATGAATTGTACAGGGTTATGGCTGAGCCTATTAGCTTAAGTGGTGCTCCAAACCATAGACAGGCCATTTTAACCATGGCTGAGCCTATCATTGAGGCTTAGGTAGTGCTCCAAACCATGGTCATAGTCTGACTTCTACGAGGCTTAAGGAGCACTGCGTAAAGGACTTGGGACAGTTCGAATTACACCCAACGCTCGGGCTCCCCAAAGGGCATGCCTACTTGGTTAATTTTCTCTTTTCCGACAAACAAATTGATGGGCGGCCTGTTGTGTAACTCAATGCACGTTACTCGATCTTCCAGTGACCAGGGAGCCTCAAACAGACGACCTCTTTTGGGGCTCTTTTCAATAATAAAGCCTAAAGGTTATATTACAAGGTAGCTAAATTCAGAAGGCTCTCGGTCCATGCATATATTTAAGCTCGAAATTGTTCACGGCTAAATTTGCACCATTTTCAGTTAATTCCGGATAAAGTCATCATTAACTCCCAGAGAACAAGTCCCTACAGCAAATTGAATGGTGTGGACCGGCAAATCCTTACTTCGTCTTACCGCCATGATCCCACGAACTCATTTCCAAAATGGGATGATGGTCTGTGCAGTGCAGAGCAACAAATCGTCATAGAATACATGCAAACCAGTAATTTTCCTTTAAAAGGCCTGGGTTCTAACATTTCAATGCATGATTAGATAGATGTATTAGTGTTCTGCTTGTACGAAAATCCAACCATCCAGGCATAATACATATAGCTCGAATACAATTTCCGCGTGGGATGTTCTGGCTTTAGCTTTGAAACAAATCTGGGTTACAAAACAAATTTACATACATATACCCAATGTATATCTGTCCACATGGAAGTTGTTTCTAAAGACTTACTCTTTCTTACCTTTTTATTCAATTTCAGGTGAAAGCTCATCCTCTGCTTTGTGATACACAGCATCTTCTCCTCAGCATGTCATATTTGGAGTGAAAGAGGTCACAACCTGAAAACTGAAATCGAACTCAGGTTAAATATTAAATATCTTGAAGTAGCTCATATGATGTGCACCGAGGCCAAGACACTTAGAAAAGGTTGGTTGCCTTGCCCTTAATATAATATTCCCGTCAACAACAAGTGTGGAATGACCGTCTCTTGATAATTCTCACACACTAAGTACCACAGAATAGGGAAACATAGTGATGAATTACATCCACAGCCAAGTAGATGAACACTGTAGAGTCAAAGAAATATCATGCAATAGGATATATCAACATGTCTAGATAAAATAGTGTAGAGATGAATGGGATCAACTAAGCAAACTTGTATGGAATATTCAAAGCATCAAATGACCATTTATTTTAAGTGTAAGATGTGCACTCAACTTAACAAAGAGATTGGGAGCTCCTCCTGATTAAAAGTAGTGAAAAAGGGAAAAGAAATACAGATATGGTGGCATGTAATGGCTCGTCGGTAAACTAGTTACTTTAAAAATGAAACTTAAACCAAAATAATGACTCACCTTCAAAGATGAAATGCTGAGGACAGACGTAATTGCTGAAGAAACTCTTTAACTTAAGTAGATGCTGAACTTGCAGCACAAGCAGCTGGTGTACTTCCTTCATTTAATGGGCTCTCCATGTGAGTCACAGCATTATTCTGGTTGCTCCTCTCCACATTGGAGCGATCAGTCAAATGATTTGACACAGAAACTTGGTTGTCTCCACTGTTATCTCTGGTTTCAAGGCGCTCCATCATACGAGATACAGTTGCAATTCCTGCATTCACTTCTCTTCGAACATCAGAGCTGATATCAGACATTGAACTGTTACGAGAAAACAGCCTCTCCTTCCACCCTCTTGTACTTCTTGAAATTGACTCTTTGTACCTTATGGACAACAAACGTTGACAGTAAACTAGAAGCTACTAAATGATAAAATACTAAATTTCAAACAAAGGAATACTGGAATGCAGTGTAAACTTTACATATTATACCTCATTGAAACTGCATTAAGCCTAGATTTTAGAGACTCTGAAAATGACTGGAATTCTGATGGTCCGGCTCTATCTTGATTTGGCAGTGAAGACAGGCTAGAAGCGCTCCTGCTCAAAATAGAAGGATAGAATATTCAATTCATGCATGTTTATATAGCAAACTGAAGTGCATGAAAAGACTTGTACATGCAAAAAAAAATAATCATAAATAGATTACAAAAGAAAACAATTGATACCTATTATTAAAGGAAACTCCTTGATTATTTGCAGGCATCGCTGTGGATCCAGATGCAGAGGAACTTTGATCAGTTAAAATAGAAGGGGATTGTAAGGCTTGTTGTGGTGGTTCATCCCCAACAGAAGTGAGTGGTGTGGATGGACTAGCTACAGAGACTGGAGCTGGTTCATTTTCCCCGCCTAGCTGAGTCAAAGAGGAAGAAACATGACCAGAAGGCTGTGCACCAGGATTAGAAGAAAATACCAAGAAGTGTGGACGGCCATGGGAAGATGCCCTGTTTCTCTGCCCTTCCCTCCTACCAAAGTGGCGGGTCCTTCCCATAGCAGCAGCGGCAGCCAGGTGCTGGATTATACGCTCCTCAAGTTCAGAATCACTCACACCAACTGGTAGCTGGATCACAAAGCAAAAGTTATGTCAGGTTTAATCTCCTGAATACAGCTTGTAATGTATTAACCAAAAAGTAACAAACACAGGATTTCAGCAATGATAGGAAACAGACATGCTGCAACTCGAAATCCCCAAGTGTAGGATGATGAAAAATAGTAGCATTTCTTGAAGGAGCAGCCCTGATTTTCCTCTCCCGTTCTACAGCCTCAAACAATTCTTGACTGCAGCAACATGAAAACGACTCAAATGTAATTGAACAAATAATCACATAAAAGTATCAAAATAATTAACAAGCAAAACCAACCTGGTGGGATCTTTAAGACTAATGGATTGCAAACACATGGGACACTCAGAGCTTCTCTGACACCTACAAATAACAATTAGTGAAATATTATCAGATTCTTTCTTCCTTCTTTAACTCAACCATCACACCACAATGATTTGCATCTGTTAACCATTGACAAATAGTCCATTGTGTAGATAAGACAAGGTAAAACTCGTGCAATTTTGATTTCTTAATGAGCTAAGATAGCTACTAGTTGCAAATTATTTAAGAAAAATAATAATAAGAAGAAGAAAAAACAGAACACCACAGAGATATTTACACTTGAAATTGTAGACTTGTTTGCTTAGTAAAATAGGTACCATCAACTCAGACAGTAGGCAGTAATGAAAGACCAACTAGTTTGGAATCAAGATTTACTTGGGTTGAGTTGTAGGAAAGCAGGTACCACTGACTTTTCAACAGTGTTAGAAATGCTAGAATTAAAGATGAAAGACTGAACTAAAAACAAATTCAACTCTCCATGTTCTCTCTACAGATGAGAACAAGATTGCACAAGAAAACACTGCTCCAACAAAGGCTTCACCGAGCAAAAACTAAAAGGAAGAGAACTGAACATGTAAACCTAGTAGATGACAGTGACAAACAACAGCAGCAATACAGAACAAATCAGGGGATATTAAAAATCCCTATTAGATTAATTGGACACAGAACAGACCATTTCTGACATCGCATAAGGAGGGAAGAAAGTATAGTCAAATCAAAGTTAAAATGTATTTTTAGATTCATGTCAGGCAAACTTAATTAGCAGATCTTTGTTCTTTCCAAATCACAATAACCCCTCTCTGTATCTAATTTCATCCCAGAGACTTCAATATATGTCCTTAAAACTATCTCCAACCAACCCTACCACTGACCCATCTATAAGCATCGATT